TCTCCTGATAAACTCAGTTGCTTTCCGAAGGAATCCAGTCTCAGAAGCTGATGGCTTATGAAATTTAAGAATTAGTGATTATATCCAGTGGCACAAACTTATAAAGTGGCAGCACCAGGATTCGAACCCAGGCCATCTGGCCCCAGAGGGCGAGCGCTAAAGCACTGCACCAAAGGCCTCCTCCCTCTTGCTCCTGGGTCATAGCATCCATGAAGCCCACCTTCAGGGCACCGCCCCAGGGATGGAAATGGCCGCTGCGGGCCGGTCTTCTCCTGGACTGTGAGCTCCACGAAGCCTGGGCTGGCGCTTATTCTGCTCACGCCGCGGCCCTGGTGCCCAGCGCGTGGCACTCGATACAGATTTATTGAATGAAGGCATGCGTGTCTATCCCTCTCTGCTTCATACGTGGTCCGCGAAGACTGCGTCTTTAACTCTGTGTCCCCAGAGCTCCACAAAGCGCCCTGCAACAGAAGTCGCCCATGCGCTCACTGGACTGAAGCTGGCCCCTCTTTCCAGCAAGTTCCGCGGCCGTGCGGCCTCCCGTGCCCACTCACGCCTGAGCGTGACTCCCCAGCACCCATGTCGTCCGCTCACACCCCCACACTGTGTCATTCTGGTCCTTCTTCCCCCACTCTCCGTCTGCTGCAACCGTCTTCACCCCCCTCAAGGCCGAGGGTGAACAAGTCCTCCCCCACCCTCCCCTCCCGGGTGGATTTAGGGTTCTCTCCTTGCACCCCACAGCATGTGCAGGCCCAGGATATCATGCAGGGCCACGTGTGATGTTCAGGGTTCCTGGACACTTCTGCCTTCATTCATTAAAAAAAAAAATTAAAAGTAATATTTTATGACTGCAGTGATATAAACAGAAATATAATCCAAGCTGGATTCCATCATGTTTAAATTTCTGATTTTAGAAAGAAATTAAGACGTTTTGTAGGCCTCAAAAGGGTTGCAGGCCCTGGGTGCTGTGCCTGACGTTAGCCCTAGGAAGGGGCGATGTGACCAGCTCAGGGTCACGCGTCCGACAAGAGGCAGCGCCAGGGTCGTTCCCGGGGCCCCCAGCTCTAGGACACCAACCACCTGCCACTCCTTCCGCAGCCAAACAGTACTCAGCAGACTCAGACTCAGGGCACTGGGGACACCAAAGGACATTTGGCTCGAGGCTGGCTCTTATTTTACAGATGAGGCTCCAGGTGCCCAGAGAGGGAGTGTTGCATTCTCAGGGGCACACAGCATGTCAGTGCTGCAGCCGGGACGAGGACCGGGTCTCCTCATGTCCACCTAGGACTCCTCCCTGCCCACCCTTTGCTTTCAAGTGCCAAGCCCGCGCCCTGAGAGAGCACCCAGCTCCTCCCCCCGCCCTGAACACGCGCGTGCACACACACACACACACACACACACACACACACACCTTCACACATCATGCACGCAGCATCAATGCAAACATCGGTGACTGCTGCGTTGACTGTTCTCTATGTCTGAGCTGGTTAGGATCTACCCAGTGCGCTCATTTTACAGATGGAGAAACCGAGGCTGGAATGGGACTGGCCTGACCCAAAGCCACCCGGCAGATTACGAGGAGAGTCGGAGCCCAGCCCCGTTCTCGGGACCCCTGATCCTGAGCTCTTTGCTCTGCCGCCCCCGTGCCCACACCGCTGTTCTCCGCGGCTGATCACAGGCACCGGGCACCCGCCCAAGGGCTTCTATTCGACCTCACCCAGCCCACAGAGGCCAGAGAAGACCGTGTAACTGGAAGGTTCTGAGAGAGCAGTTCCCATGTCCTCTGTGTGTCCGGACTTGGCCCAGTGGCTGTCTCGGGCTCAGACCTGGAGCAAGAAAAACCGGTTCCAGGCAGCTGGGGCCATCATCCTGCCCTGACTTCAACTGTGCCCTGGTGAGAGGCAGTGGCGGGTGCCCAGGCTGGGGGTCACTGGGCCGAGCCTGGGGTTCAGGCCTCCGGGAGATACTTCTGGTTTCCACCCCACGACATTCAGTGCTTGCAAGCCTCAGCTTCCCCACCCAGGAATGATAATAGTATCTCTCCCTCAGGGTGGTGGTGGCTGTTGTTCAGGATCAAATGAGTGCTCAGCACCGTGCATGCTGCACAGTGCGAACAAAACAAATGTCAGCTATGGTTTCACTGTCAGAATTCATAACGATTAGTTGCAGCACGGCAGGTTGCAGATGCTTAGCTAGACCCTGAGGACCAGAGGAACCGTCAGTCTAGCGCAGGAAGAGCGCAGCCTCTTAGAGGGGTGGGGTAGGGGCAGAAGCCGAGGCCGGAGAGGCAGGGGCCGGGCTCGGACTGAAGACCTGCTCCATGGCCTCCAGCTCCACGGAGAGGCCACTGATGGGGCCCGAGGCTGGTGGCATTTCCAACTCCCCACCCATTTTACAGATGGGGAAACTGAGGCCCAGAGAACAGGAGTCACTTGTCAAAAAACCTACAGCTATTTCATGACGACGTCAGGACTCGAACCCAGGGCCGCCTGACTTTTCAATGAAATGATTGATCACTATGTTTTTTGGAGATTTCAAGTCCTCAAATCATCCAACTATCCTAGGAACAGTTTTTCTTTCTTTTCCCCCCTTTGCTTTTGTTTTATCTCTAAGCCTTATCTGACATCTAGCTCCACACAACCGACTCATCCCTCTGGTGCTGAAAACAGCTTTAAGAAAGGTGGGATTGCCCAGCTCAGAGACTGCAGCCGGTTCCACGCGACTCGTGTTCCCTGTTCCGGCCATGGTCACTGACCCTCGACCAATGCCAGCTGCGTCTTTCTACCCTGCCCGCGCCGTCCTCAGCAACCCTCCTGCGAAGCCACGGCCCCTCCTTCCAGGTGCGGCCGGCGTCCCCTCTGCCTTCCAGCCCTCCCCGCGGGACCTCGGCCCGGATGACACCAGCTCTCGGAAACTAAACGGAGGGGGCTCCTCCCGTGCCGTGTTCACTTGCTCTTGCTCACGAGGCAGTTCTTAAAGTCTGTTCTCGTTTATTCCTTTGTTTATTACGACAAATGTTTACTGGGTGCGAACCAGGAGCCAGGCCCCGCCCGCATGCACTGCCTGCCCTCACGTCACCTCGGGGCGCTGGGAAGGGAGTCGCCAGGAATGTCATTGCAGCTGCGCTCGTGTGCGGGCCCTGCCTTTGTCCCAGGGCGTCCCCCTGGCTGACAACCTCGCAGGGTAGGAAAGGGTCATCCCTTCACCGCGGATGCTGCCCCAAGGTGAGGACTGCGCAGGTTCCAGACCATCGTGGGTCCCCTCCTGGGTGTCAGCAAGGTGGCTCCGGGGTCAGGCAGACCAGCTTCAGATCCCAGCTGTGCCACCTGGGAGCTGAGAGACTCAGAGAGTGTCAGCTCTCTCTTGGGCCTCAGTTTACCCTTTGTGAAACAGCCGTGAGGGCTCCCAGCTGTCGGGTTTCTTGGGGTTGTGGGCAGCAGGAGAGGGAAGTGTCCAGGTGACAAGCACAGGGGAAGTGAGGCCGGCTTGCGGGGTGCAGGGTCTCTGAGCTGCTGACACTCCAGTGCCCAGAGCCACAGCACCGACTGACTGTCCCCTTTGTGCTCATCTGGGGGCAAGCGTCTCTGCCCTCTCACTGGCACCTGGAGGGGTTGGGCCGTGGGCTCTCCGGGGTCCCGCTCAGCTCTGGGAAGCTCTGGCCTCGGGACAAGCCAGCCAGCTGCCCAGAGACAGCGTGGCTGAGCCCTGCCCTGACAGGCGCGTGCTGCGTCTCGCCCTGGCTCTCAGACGGCGATGGAAATGCAATCACATCACCCCCTCCTCGAAAATGGAGAATAATCTTCATCACATCCACCCACTGCCAACTAGACAGATGTGAAACCAAACCATTTGACAAACAGTCCCACCCCTTCCAGCACGGAGCCCAGAGCACAGAGCTGGGACGTGGTCTTCGTGGTGTTTGCAGGATGCGACTTGGGAAATTAGCACTCGGAACACAGAACGCAGACGAGAACCGTGCTCTCCCCTCCCTGCAGCCTGAGAGGACGTGGACAAGGAAACTCCCAGTGGAGCTTCCCCACTGTCTTGCTTCTTCCCAGTTGTTGGTGACTGCTGATGAGGGGAGTGAATGTTCCAGTCAAATCTAGTCCTTCCTGGACTCCTACCTCTGTCTTTCTTGCTTTGAGTCCTACCGTTTGCTTGCTCTGCATGCCATTCCACCACCTGGAGATTTCTGGCCACTCCAACACCTCATAGCCTCCCAGGTGCTTAGAACGCTCCCTGCACATGGACTGCTCGCACGCTCTCCAGCCCCAGAGCGTCCGCACCAGTGACTGTGCTCTGACTGTCCTGTCACCAAAGCCCCAGCTCCTCCTCCATGCTTCCATGCCGCCCCATCACGGTTCTTCCTGGCTCGCTCTGATGTCAGCCCGCTAGGCTGTGAGCTCTGGAGGGCTGGGTGGGTCTAATAGAGCAGAGGGAAGGGCACCACTGCAGATCTGAGGCTAAGCCCACTAGCTGGATTTGAACCTCAGTGTTCCCATCTGCAAAGTGGGAGCAATCACTTCTGCCCAGCAGACTTTATGTTAGTCCAGGAAATGGACGCTAGCTTCTGCAACCAGCAAACCCCGAAATCTCAGCAACTTAACCCAATACCAGTTATTTATTGTCACGACTGTTCATGGGCTAGGTGGCCCTGGTCCTTCTGGGGCATGTGACCTCCAAGGTCACCATGGCAGGGAGAGAGGGGAGGAGGCAACACACTGGTTCTTCACTTCCTGGACTCAGAAGCCCCTTGGTCATTTCTGCTTGCCTGGTCTAGACCATAATTCAACCAAAGATCACTCCCTCCAATAGGGGGTTCTGGGAAATGTGATTTTACTGGGCACCCAGGAAAAGCAAACTGAACTGGGATTTGGTGAACATACTGGAACATACTGGTGAACATACTTTGGATTTGATTTGGCCTGTTTCCGCCATAGGGTTGTCATAGGGTTAAGTGACGTTCCTAGCACATAGCAGGTGCTGGATGAAGCTGCTCGTTCTCCTTTTGCTTTTCTGTCCCCAGGCCCAGGCCCCTAAGGGATCTGACCCCCAACAGAGGCCACGTGATGCTGGGTGCTGCCCTCCAGCTCCGGGCCCAGGCTCCCCTGGCCACCTTTCCTGGCAGCCTGCCCTGGCTCCTGCGGCTCTCTCCAGCTCCGGCTGGGCCGGCTGTCTCCGCCTCTTGCACCTGGGTCGCTGTGTCTTTTCAGAGCATTGATTTGCAATCGGCCGGTGCAGCTCTAATGGGCCTGCGAGGCCTCGCTGCGCTGCGTTAGCTCCGTTTAGAGGCTCAGGGCTGTGGAACACAAACCTGCCCGGCCTCTCCGGAGCCAGCCCCGGCTCTCCCGGCTCTGGGAGAGACAGGAGTCAGACCAGACTCAGGGCTGCTGCGGTCCTCACCCAGCAAGGCCACCCGCACTCCCTCCCACGGCCCCCCCGCCGGCTTGGCAGTGAGCTGGGAGCCATACCCAGCCAGGCACCCTGCCCCTCTGGGCCCCCTCACCCCCGAGGGTGGACAGGACAGGGTCTCTGCTTCTCTCCCTGTTGGGGGTCTCTTGAAAAGAGCACAGGATGTGGGAGCCCAAAGGACAGGGTGGTCCTAAACGCACCTTATCTCATTCTCCATCGTCACGGCAGCTTATAGAGGAGTCAGTCGTATTGGCCCCTGTTAACGATGGAGAAATAGAGACTCAGAAGTCACAAATCAGTCTTCTCTGAACTTCTTTGGCCAGACAACCCTTTTAGCATGGAGAAAACCCAAAGCACACACTTCCAAGCATGCCACCCTGGCCGGGACTCTTTCTCACCCACAAGCCGACCCGACGCTTCCCAAGAGCTCAGCATGGGCCTGCGGTGGCCCGGGGGGTCTTAACTGGACTCCGAGGGCCCGGGGGCTTCCAGAACTTGCATGTAAATACTATGTGACTGTGCATTTGCCCAGCGAGGGTCCATGACTTCCAGTAGATCCTCAGCGGGGCCTGGGACCCGGCCTGAGTGAAGAACCCCTGCCCTGGCTTTAGCCCCTGTAGACAAGGCCCAGTTTTGATCCGGGGTTTTGCACGAGCCACGAGAAGGGCGGGGATTCAGGAAAGAGCTCCATGAGCGGAGAAATGGCCTGTGTGACGGCAGGCAGGGACGAGGGGACGGTAAACGGATGAGCTTGGCTGGAGCAGAACGGATGTTTGGGAACAGTGACAAATGAGGCTGGGGCGCCGAGGGGACCTCCGAGAACAGGCCGAGGCATTTAGATTGGAATGGAGAGACCACAGGGAGCCACAGGACATCCTGGAGCCAGCAAGCGGCAGCTCGGGAACCGGGTTTGCAGAACAGGCAGGCAAGAGTGGAGAGGAGAAGTGAGCACCGAGGTGGAGACTCGTGCACAACCGGATCCTGGGGGGGGACCTCCCTGCCACCGGAAGTGCACAAACAGGGCTGGGGACTGTGGGGAAGTTGGCAAAGGAGGAGAGGACAGCGACACCCAGGGGAGAAAGCCTGGCTGGGAGCAGGGTTTTCTCCACAGGCTCCTGTTTGAGTCCCAGGACTGCGAGGTCCTTACTGTGACTTTGGGCAAGAAACTTAACCCTTCTTCTGCGCCTGGGTTCCTTCCTTGTAAAACAGGGACAACCGTGCTTGCTTGCTCGGTAAGGCTGTGGAGACTCACTTACATGCATCTGAAGCCCTTAGCCCAGGGCAAGGCACAGCCGCCAGCAATCCATCAACTCATCCTATAACCACCGGTCACATCCCTGCGAGGCACCAGGCGCTTTCCGAGACATCCTTGCACCTCTGCCAGCAACAGCCCCAGAGAGGGATGTCATCACGCCTGTTGGAGAGAGAAGGAAACCAAAGTATGGAGAAGTTTTCATAATCAGTAGTGACACCTATTAAGGTTGATGGGAAGCTCAAATGCCAAGGGCTCAGTGACAAAGGTGTGACCTCTCTCTGACCCAGGGTGGGAGAAAACACATGTTCTTGATGACATTTGAGGTCACACGGTGGATGGAGTCTTGGGATTGGGGGCGGGCGGGGTGCTGGTCCAGGTGTTTCCAGGGCCTCACAAACCGTAAGGATCCATCCCCTGGGATCAGGTTCACATGAAGATTCTGATTTTCTGAGGCTGTGGTGGGGCCCGGGAGCCTGAAAGAGAACCAGTTCCTAGCTGATGCTTTTTTGAGTAGCAAGACTTTCTAAAGAAGGGTTTTGAGGTTTTACCAATTCTATTACCAGAATTGGCCTTGGGCGAGAGACTGGGCCTCAATTTCCTCATCTATAAAATGGGTACATCTTACCAACCTTGCAGGGCTGCCGTGCAGACTGAAGGAGATGGGGTCTGGAGCCTTGGCGGTGCACAGGCTGGGTGCCCGGTGAACACTGGCTGTTATTATTATTGGTGCTACCACTGCTGGCACTGAGCCCTCTGCAAAAGTCCGTCTCTGCAGGTAGCCAGGGAGTCACTGTGGCATAATCAAACCTCAGGGTGCGTCCTTCGCTTCAACTCCTTCTACCCCGGGAGAAAAAAAATCAGGATGCATTCTGCCGTCTCCGACAGCACCCATGAATCGTTTCACATTCAATTTCCCCATCAAATTCACGGGCACGTCTCACACGCCATTATTCCATTTCCTAATGGTCTGTGTGGTGGCAATCGTAAGTAGGACATTTCTCCCTGCCCTTGGCATTCCCAAGTCTTTGAAACTCCCTTTCCAGCCCAGAGCCCCTTTCTGGCAGCTGCAGTCTGCCTCGCCCTCCCCCAAATCCTGGCATCGTGGACTCCTGGCCTCTGCTCATTCAGAACATAAAGGAACAACAGGAACTTGTCCCTCTGGAGAACAGCCCTGGTCCTGCCTTGGAGTCTATGCAGGTGCACTTTGGCAGCAGGCAGCAGGGTGGGCTGGATGGGTGCGGGGTCCAAGGTCAAAGACAAGACTGTTTGAGCCCCCGACATGCCACACAAGCCGTGGGTCCTCGGACGAGAAAGCCGCCTGGCCTCCTGGGAGCCCCGGGCCCTCAGCTATAACACGGGGATAGCACACGGCCACACAGGGTGGCGGAATCAAAGTGCCTGGTCAAGGCTGTGCCCTTGTTAACGGTGACAGCTCTTTGTGGAGGTCCTGTGAATGGCTGGCTTGGCGGGATGGCCCAGAATGAGCTGGCACCTGTGTCTCAGCAGGTGGCATTCCCCATGGGGGGCCACCCTGCACTGGCTTGGCCTCGCCTTTGCAGGCTCAGACTGCTGGTGGAGTCGGCAGCATGGGACAGTCACCTCTGCACAGGCTCCGCCAGAGATGGAGCGGCGCAGGGCTCGGGGAGGCAGAGCGGGGCCGGTCAGCACGCTCACCGCCTGTCATGCCCGGCGCTGACCCGCCTGAGTGACGCGGGCTCTGTGGGACCTTTGTGACGCCAAGTGCTGACCTCTAGAGCAGGAGTGCTGGGGACAGCTGGCGGGACCTGGGGGCTGCTGGGGTTGGGGCAGCGGCTATTGCCCAGCACAATGGAACAACTGCAGCATTTTACAACCAATGAGGACGGGGCAGGGCACACCAGCTGGGGACGCTGCCCGGGGGTGCTGAGCATGCCAGAGCCCAGTGTATGTCTAGAAGGGTTTGTCCAAGAAAGGGCCCCTGGGTGAGCGTAGAAGCCCACCGCCATTTCTCACTGAGCGCCTTTGGGATGAGCAGGGATTCATCCTTGACCACCCCCTCCAGCCAGTCGCCCTGTGTGCTAGTCCCAGCTACACCGGATTCTCTCTCGGGGCCTCAGTCTCCCCAGCGGTCAAACCAGAATCCACTTAACTCTGAATTTTCTGGACTCAAAAGATCCACGACCTCCTTCCCACCTGTGTGGATGCGAGTGTGCACTTGTGCATGCATACGTGGGCACGTGGTGGGTGCACACGGGTGCATGTATGTGTAAAGAGCCACACACCTCCCCTGGCCCTCTCTGACATCTCCACGCCCCTCTGCACTCGCCCCTCCCTTCCCGAGGTGCCCACTCCCACCGCCTCCCACCTCTCACCTCTACTCACCCCCTCTCACCCCCTCACCTGCCACACCCACCTGAAGTCCATCCTCACCCGGAAAACCCGCCCTCGCCCCCTCCACCGCCCCCCCCCCCGGCTGAGCAGCCCAAGGCTGAGCACCAGCGCGGTGAAGGCAAAGCTCATCACTCGGAGATGGGCCTGTTTGTTTGCACGGCACGCATTTGCCTCTGACTGTTTTATCCACCCCCTGAGCCAAGCGAAGAGTTCTCAATTTATCCTGCCCGCACGGAGAGACCAGATTGGCAGGGAGCACGCACATTCGCAGCAGCCCAATATAGACTTCCAATTATCTTTTAATTTCGCTCCTGTCTTTATTTGTTCATTTCACTTTTTCCGAATAGGGACTTTAAAAAAAGCTGTAATTTATGGAGTTTGAAGTCAACGAGCACAAGTGTCTCGTGTTCACCTGCCGGATGGACTGAGACCTCGGGGTAGAGACAGAAGTTCGCTTCCCAACTTCCCTACAAGGAAGACGGCCGCCTCTCAGGGCCCCAAAGTCCCTGTTTCTCTCTGTCCTTCCACCTCTGTTTTAGCTGTGTGTTCTTATCCTCTATATCCCTGATGCACTGGCAGCTGTGGCCTCTCTGACGAGAGACTGCCCCACTAGGGTCAGCGAGTTCCTGGAGATGGCAGGGGACTCCCCAGAAGGGACCCTCTCATGTGCAAACCAACCCACCAGAGCCCCGGCTCCCCGCCCCTTCCCCCACTGGGATCTCAAAGGCGCTTACACTCAGGCCCAAGGTTCCCCTGCCCCAATCACCCCGGGCCCCCGTGTCAGACAGCTAAACACAGCCGGGAACCTGCTGACCTTACTCAAATTTGCCAACCCTAAACCCGCTCACCCTGCTTCTCCCATTGCTTCTTGCAAAAACCTCAGTGAAGACCCTCGCCCGCCCTTCAGTGTCATGGTGTCACTCCCTCTGTGGCCTTCCCCTTGTGGCCCTGCAGACATGGCACGTCCCCTCCTGTTGGGAGCTGTGAGTAACAAAGTACTCACTATCCTCCCAGTGGCAGCCGTCCCCTGGCCTCTGCTGGCCTCACCGTGCCTGAGCAATGATGGAGCCTGGATCACAACCCGACCTTGGCCGGCTGTGTTCGCCGGAACGGAGGGAGACGGCAGGAAGCCCCGAGGAGCGAAGGCATCGTCTGTGCTCAGCTGCTCCTCGAGTGTCACTTCTGCCCTCACACAAGGGGAGGTCACAGCAGTGGCATGCCAGGACTCACACCAGGGGCGTCTGACCCTGCACCCTGTCCTCGCACCAGCCCCAGTTCCGGTGTGCGGTCTCCCTGCTCTGTCTGGGTTCTCAGCTCCCTGCTTTCCATCCTCCCATCCCTGCCACGGCAAATGCCCTCGCCACCCTCTCTCTAGTCCCAACCTGGCGCAGGGACGCCTGTGCCCCCCTCCCACGAGGACCTTTACAGGCCGGCCTGTCACAGCCCGCCGTCTCCTTGCCCAGCATCTTCCCCCGGTAGACCCGTCTCCACGGGTAGCGGGGCCGTGGCTGTCCCCTTAACCCACGTCACCGTACCCAACGCGTGGCCTCCCTTTGTCGGTACCCAGTGCCAGACATTTCTTTCTGGAATCCTTTCTGCTGGCCTCTATCCTGAGAAATCACCTCATTAATTTCTTCTTTGTGGTACATCGTGGCTAGATCATGTCTTAGGCATATGCCCACCTCTGGATGAGGGACATCTGTTTCCCCGGCGTCGGGACTGCAGCTTCTGCTCCCAGCGATCCTCTCACCTGCCCACCCCCGGGGCTGCCTCGACACCCAGCACCCAGGAGCTCTCCAGGTGGGAGGGCTGACTGATTAGCAGGTGTAAGCTGGGGCCACAGGGGCTCCGGGGCACAACAGAGCCTCTGTCAGAAGGGCCGAGAGCTGCTCAGCTGTTGGCACCTGAGAGGACAGTGCCAGTCACATCTCACCGAGGGGGCATGTCACATGTCTCCCCTCTCCAAGAGTATAGGAGCCCCAAAGCTGCCCCCACCACTGGAATGGTAGCCTGGCAACTGCGGACCCCTAGTAAGACCCAACAGAGCATTTTCAACGCTGGGCGAATCATGTTTATTACCCTTAATACCTCGTTCTCTCCTTCCCAGAGGAAGATGACGGGCTGTGCAGCCAGAGTGTCTATAAATCAAGACTTGCCACTCTCAACCCGTTGGCATTGTCCCTCTGAGCCTCAGTTGCCTCACCTGTAGAATGGGGGCAATAATGACACCCACCTCTCTGGATTACTGGGAAGATTAAATGATTTTACTTACACAAAGCACCCAGGAGTATATTCCCGTTCTCTGTTACTCATCTACTACCCCAAAGGTGAAGAGGAATTTTCAGGAGACAAATAGAAAAGCCAACTTATTTTTCATTCCTACACTCACTGAAGTCTCCTAAGGTGATGGTTAAAAATGGAGGCTTCCTGGGACCCACCCAGACGGACAGCATCGGAACGTCTAGGGCTGGAGCTTAGACATCGCCCCTAACCAGCACCTGCGGTGATTCTTGTGCCCCCTGGATTGACAGTCACTCTTTTGACCATGGTGGGAAGAAAGGGAGCCCAGGGTCCCCTCTTGCCAGACACCAGCGGGACAGGAGACCAGGCTGTGCGAGAAGTCACAGCTGTTGGACGAAGTCATGTCTGTAAAACTCTGGTCTGCAAACAAGGATTAAAGTCCCCATTTATAAGAAAGTTTGACATAACCTTGAGGTCCGACCAGTTACCACTGCCACCAAGCGGGGACAGCAAACACGTCTCTCCCCAAAGGGCCTGTGGCATTAGATGAGATTCATCCGGAGTGTCCTCCCGATCCACTCAGCGCAAAGGCACAATCCATGCTGGCCGTTGTCCCGACTGTGCAGGGCCCCCTGTAGGCCTTAGGGTCCCCAGTTGGACCAGCGACAGTCTCAGCGGCTTCAGACCCAGCAGGAGAACAGATACTGTGCACGACGCACTTTGTGACGGGGCAGCTGTGACAAAGACAGAGAGAGCAACACCAACGATCGAGAGACCCAGAGAGAGAACAGGTGACCTCGGAAGGTGGGGACGCTTGGGAAGAGGGCCTGGGAGACACGGCTTGGGACCCCACTCTGGTGGGCTGGAGGGACATGGACCAGGAAAGATGAGGGAGACCTGGCCTGCCAAGAAGCCAGCCTGCGCCCAGCAGGCCAGGCCGAGGTCAGGAGACGGACGTGCAAGGGAGGACCAAGGCTGGCGGCAGAGGACTGCGAACGCCTAGGTAAGGGGCCAGCACTCTCTCTCAGAGTCCAGGGCTTCAGAGCCAAATTCCTCCTGTGCGTGTCTCCACTGGCCACCGAGTGCTCTTCACATGCATTTTCAATTAGACGATAGCAGTTAGAAATCGGCAGTGACCCCGTCCCTACCTGGATCCTAAGCTTCTCTGCAACAGGAGTGGGGGGAGGATCAGGCCATGCTGGGCCACCTGCAGGCACCTTTGGCTGGGAGGGTCTTCACTTGTTCACTCTATCCGCCCCACCCCCACCAGCAGCAAGAGTTTGAGACCCCTGTGCTGGCCTTTGGGGACCCATGGAGGGACCTTGGTCAGGGCAGGGGCAGAATTGGGTCTGGGCCTTGGAAGGTCCAGCTGATGATAATTAGTACTAGCAACTGGGAGGAGGAGGAGAGGGGGAGGGCATGGAGGGGGAGGGGAGGGGGAGAGAGAGGAGGAGGAAGAAAAGGAGGAGGAGGAGGGGGAGAAGAGGAGAAGAGGTAGCATCCGAGCTTCCGCAACTGGGGCTCTGCACAGCACGTCACACGCAGTAGCCCATTTTGCTCCCACCACAACCTGATGGGGTGCAGATACCGTTGTCCCCCATCTTTCAGATGAGGAAACAGAGGCGCAGAGAGCTGAAGTCACTTGCCTAAGGTCACATGGCTGGTAAGTGGCAGAGCCAGGTGGTCTGGATCCAGGACCCACAGCACTGGTGACAATGCAGAGGGCCTGGGGGAGATTGGGACGGGGGGCTTCCCTCGGCCTCTCCCCACCAGAGGTTGTCAGGCTTCAAGGGAGGCGTGTCCCGCGTCCAGCCCCACCCAGGTGCTGATGCAAGGTGTTTTCCCAAGCTGCTCTCAGAAAGGCCCTTTCTCTTCGTGAACTGGTCAGGCAGAAAAGGAGGACAGGTCAGGTGGCTTGGCTGTGGTCCCTGGCTCCAGGCTCCCCTGCTGTGTCCCCTGCTTGACCAGTTAAATGCCGACCCCACTGGGGGACCCACAGACCCCGATAGGACCCCGATAGGCATGATCCCAGCCACACCTACTGGGGTTCTACCTGCCCAGCACTCGCCACACCCAAGCCTCCCCGCCCAGTGGATTTGCAAAGGGAAATAAACCGCACACACAAAGAATAACCAACCCCGTGCGCTTCCTGGCATCGGGTGACTGTTTGGTTAGGAGCTTCCTCCCTCTCTGTGCACCCACTGGACTCTCCTCCCACAACCCCCAGCTGCTGGCCGCAGAGCTGGCTCGGGTGGCCGGTCCTAAGCTCAGCCCCTGGGCAGACCCTCATGCCCACAGGAGGCCAGCGGCTGGGATCTGTTGGCCCTGGGCCCCTTGGCCACCCTCTGCAGCTCAAAGTCACCTTTGCTCCGACTTCTCAGCTGGCCAGACCCAGCCCGGAACACCTCCCCTCAGCTTGGCTGGCTCCAGGAACGGACCCTGTTGGGCAATCATTAATCGGATTCTCGACATTCCTCAGCCCCAGGTCGCCAGGAGAGGCATGAGAAGCATGCTGCCCCGAGAGGCAGGGGCCCCGGACTGGCACTTGGACATGCAGCTGACCGGCAAGGTGGTGCTGTCGGCCGCCGCGCTGCTCCTGTTGACCGCGGCCTACGGGCTGTACAAGGCGAGGCCCGCGCCGGCCCCGAAGGAGGGTGGAAACTCAGAGGCCGAGGCCGGGCAGGAAGCAGAGGGCTTGGGGCAGCCTGCTGCCCAGGTGGCTCCTCCCGGGGCGCCGCGGAGGGGGCCGAGACGCCGCCGGAGGGTGAGCAAGGGGGCCGGAGCACCCCCGGGCTGCAGCTGTGAGAACCCAGGAGGCCCCTGCACCCTGACAACGGGGGCCACCTCCAGAGACGAGCCCCAGAGAGAAGGTTCTGGCGAGGAGCAGGGCGGGCAGTGCCCGGACTCTGAGCAGGTGCCTCCCCGCGGTGACGGCCGGGAAGCCGGAACAGCTATTGGCAGTAAGCCTGACCCTCCGCACTGCCCCTATTTGGACAGTGAACCCGAAGGCTCCCCAGCTGGAGTCTCTGCAGCGGGGGGCGGCAGCTGTGCAGGTGGCGAGCCTGCTCCATGGTGGGGCGGCGGACCCCTCGAGCTGCCAGGGCCCGGGCAGCTGGAGCTTCCCCACCAGCCCCTGACCGCCCCCAAGGAAGGCAGCAGTGACATGAACCAGAGCTGGGTCTTCACTCATGTGACAGGGGTCAGCAGGGAAGAGGCGGGGGCTGTCCAGGCCGCCTCAGACGTGGGCCTGGCGCTGCACCAGCAGGAGGGGGCCACCAACGCCTCCTACACCTTCTCGTCGGTGGCCCGGGTCCGCATGGAAGAGAACTTCATACAGAAGGTGGAGGGGGCCGGGCCCAGCCTGAAGGGCAAGGTGTACGACTACTACGTGGAATCCACCTCTCGGGCCATCTCCAGGGGCGGGCTGGCCCCCAAGACAGCTCTGGCTGAGGCTCCCTGCCCAGAAGCACCGCCCAGGCCCCTGGGAGCAGGGGCAGCCTCCCCGGGCCAAGCCAAAGACACAGAAGGTGGAACTGAGACAGCTGCCGCCCCCCGGCCTGTGCCGTCCCCCGCCCCGCAGGGCTTCAGCAGGAAGGACAGCCTCCTGCAGATCTCGGAGAACCCAGAGCTGCAGCTACAGCCCGACGGCCTCGGCTTCCCCCCTCCACCCCGCCCAGACCGGGGCGCCCTGCCTGGTGCAGCCAGAAGCAGTGGGGAGCCCCACGTGCAGGCCGTGGCCGGGACCAATTTCTTCCACGTCCCCCTGGCCCCCGCGTCAGACCCAGACGTCCGCCTGGACCTGGGCAATTGCCAGGAGGCGCTGGCCTTGGCCAAGAGGCAGAACTTGGAGGCCCTGAAGGAGGCAGCCTACAAGGTGATGAGCGACAACTACCTCCAGGTGCTGCGCAGCCCGGACGTCTACGGGGGCCTGAGCGGGGCCGAGCGGGAGCTGATCCTGCAGCGACGGCTCCGCGGCCGCAAGTACCTGTTGGTGGCGGACGTGTGCCCCCAGGAAGACTCCGGCCGCCTCTGTTGCTATGACGATGAGAGGGATGTCTGGCACCTGCTGGCCCAGCTGCCCCCTGAGGCCGTGTCCCGGGGCTGTGCCGTCTGCAGCCTCTTCAATTATCTCTTCCTGGTGTCTGGCTGCCAGGGGCCGGGGCGCCAGCCCTCCAACCGGGTCTTCTGCTACAACCCGCTGACGGGGGTCTGGAGCGAGGTGTGCCCGCTGAACCAGGCCCGGCCGCACTGCCGGCTGGTGGCCCTGGACGGGCACCTGTACGCCATCGGGGGCGAGTGTCTGCACACGGTGGAGCGGTACGACCCTCGCCTGGACCGCTGGGTCTTCGCCCCGCCGCTCCCCAACGACACGTTCGCCGTGGCGCACACGGCCACGGCGTGCGCCGAGGAGATCTTCGTCACGGGCGGCACGCTGCGCTACCTGCTGCTCCGCTTCTCTGCGCAGGAGCAGCGCTGGCGGGCCGGCCCCACGGGGGGCAGCAAGGACCGCACGGCCGAGATGGTGGCCGTCCACGGTTTCCTCTACCGCTTTGACCTCAACCGCAGCCTGGGCATCAGCGTGTACCGCTGCAGCGCCAGCGCCCGGCTCTGGTACGAGTGCGCCACGCACCGGACGCCCTACCCGGACGCCTTCCAGTGCGCCGTGGTGGACAGCCTCATCTACTGCGTGGGGCGCCGGCGCACGCTCTGCTTCCTGGCCGACTACGTCTCGCCCAGGTTCCTGCCCAAGGAGCTGCGGAGCTTCCCCACGCCGCGGGGCACCCTCCTGCCTGCCGTCCTGGCCCTGCCCACCCCCGAGCTGCCTCACACCAGGGTCTAGCAGCCCCTCTGCGCGGCTGCACACCGGGGAGGCAGCGAGGGCCACCCTGCCTGTCGCCCTGTGGGTCAGTGCTGGGCAGTCGGGCGGCCCAGGCCTTTGGCCATCCAGAGGCAGATTCTGACCCTACCTGCTCTGCCTGGTAAGTGGAGGCCTGGGCGGGGGGCGGGTCTTAGATGAGTCTTGAGCCTTCGTGGGCTGCAGGGGTACCCTGGAGAGGAGAGGGCCGGGGACTGGTGTTCCAAGGCAGAAGAGAGGGCCACCACCTGGCTCCAACTCCGAATTCCTGGGGGCAGTGACCAGCACCCCACCATAGCTAGGAAGCGTGCACAGTTACTGCAAGCACAGTTCAGAGTGCTGGCAGACCCTCGACCTGGTCCCTGTGGAGAGGGGCCAGCTCTCTGTGCCGCCAGTGTCCCTTCATGAACACTAAGCCACTGGGCCCCACCTCTACAGTTCCGGGAAGCACCCGGGACACACGGGCAGGAAAGACTGAGGGAGGAGCCCTGCGGGGGGAGAGGTGACTGAGAAGCAGGACAGCTGAAGCCGGGGCTGCTATGGGACCCTGGGAGCAGAGTGAACGTGCCCAAGCCCACTTACTTTTCCCATCACGGGAAGGAGGAAGGCCAGCTTCCTGTAGGGAGCTGCTGAGGATACCATGGAGGCCTCAGGAAAGGGAGGAAAGGCTCTGGTCCAAGGGCCACCCTCCTCCTGGGCCTTGCTCACGGCATTGCTAACTGACCACTGCGCCCCTTCCCCGGGTCTCAGAATCCTTCCCCGCATCCCAGCCCTCCTGTCTGGAAGCAGGAACAGCCACTACCAGTCGCCAGCGCTGGTGAGAGGTGACAGCAGGGTTGGCACTCCCTGTGCCATGTGGGCACCTGGTTTGCCTCATCAGACAGGAGAGGACCAGGGAGAGAGAGGCAGGTCCATGACGAAGCTGAGGAACTAGAAGATTCCAGTGACGCATCCGGAGACCAGATCTCCTTTCACAGCAGGTTTGGTAAACTCTGAAATGAAGGAGAGCCCCCAACCTCAGGAAGGCACCTGTTCTTTCAGGAGGGAAGGGAGAGAGACGGTCTGGTCTGTCACTGTAGCCCCCGTTCCATCCTTGCAGGTGACGCAGATACAGACAGGAAAGCAGCGATGCTCTTGGCCCCAGCCAGAAGCCAGGGGAGATAGGAGGTGGCCCAGGGCAGGGCCGGACAAGGGAGGAGATAAGGATGCTTTGGACCTCAGTCTCACTATCTTGAAAATGGGCAGAACAATTCATGTCCCCGTCTGCCTTGGGGATAAATGAGAGCCCGCAGAGAAAGTTCTCCCCGAGTTCCAGGCAGGGCCAGCTACAGCGTGTGTCCACTGCAGCTGCCGGGCTTGGGCTGCGGGCCTTGTTGGAAGAAGCAGGATCGGAACAAAGGATGAGGAGCGGGTTGTCATGGAGATGAGAGGACGGCTCGTACTGTACCCCACAAGGCCACCATGGCCTGGGAAGATGAGGCAGCTAAATTTAGCCCTAAATTGGAGACTGAGAAGGGAAAGTCAGCTGGGACCACGGCTGGCCCCTGGAAAGAGTGCCCCGCCCCCATCCCCAGCCAAGGCCACATTCAAGCACAGTGTCACAGTGTCAATACTCAGGCACGAACCTCCAAGGGGTCCACGGGGTGGGGAGGATGGCTTCCGTGACAGGGCTCGGGAGGCACTGGCATTGTGATGCCAGGCTGGGGGGAGGGTCGGCTTGGGAGGAGACCCCCATCTGGGAGCTGGAGGCAGGTGGAGCCAGACCCAGTCCCCAAGGGCAGGCCTCTGGTGAGGAGCCAGGCAGAGGCTGAGACCACAACCAAGTGGGGAAAGTGCAGGAAAGGTTCCAAGCCCAGGAGGGACAAGGGGCCACTCTGGAAAAACATTCCAAAGCCTAACACATACCTACGGTAGGGACCAGGGAAACGATTCCAGGGACCCCAGTGTCACCTGGTGGGCGTGAGCGAGCTGAGATTCGGGCGTGGGTGTGATGAGCGGTACACAGTACACCTGATGTACCTCCCTCAGGCTCTGTCTTGTCCTGGCGGGGACCTTGCTGTGGCCTCCTAGCTGTTTGAACACCGTGTTGCAGACAGTCGCGCCAGCAGATTAGAGCTGGCGTGCTTATCCTCACCGTCCTGGTCTCCGGAGCTGGGTTGCGGGATGGAAGTACTTGGGGCCGTCACGTGGATCCAGGTAGTTGAAGGGCCTGAGAAGAGCCCCGAGGGCTCAGTGGTCAGGGTTCATCCCTTCCCCTGTGAAATAGACATCTGCAGAATGTCAGGCCGGGCCTTGTGCTAGGTGCTGGAGATGCAGCAGACACCTGCCCTAACGGAGCTCACATTCTAGTGGAGGAAAATGGGCAATTTTTAAAAACAAGCACATAATAAAATAAATAGAACCTGCACTGCATGTGCACTAAGGAGCCGGTGGGATCACGAATGCCAGAGGGAGAGGGTTGCTCTTTTAAATCATGTGATCGGGCCTCCGCAGTGAGGTGACATTTGACCAGGGCCCCGAATGCAAAGCTGAGGGGTGCACAGCCCAGGACTGGCTCAGGGGTTGGGACGGCTGCCCTGTGCCGGAAGGGCTCGGCCACGCCTGCCTGCCGGGGCGGGCAGGGCTGCCTCCAGGGAGCTCCGTCTTGGTGTAGGGAGAAGGGCAGGGCCGGCTACTCTGGTTTAGCCTTTGGTGTAAGGGAAAGAACTCAACGACATCAATGTCATGAAAGAGACTCTGCAGACAGAAACAAGCCACATTCCCCAGGAGAGAAGCAGAGCGTGCACGAGTAGGGGTGACAGCCAACATAGTTACCAGGATGTTGCAGACGCCACACCGGGTGTGCGCCAGGTTTCAGCCTGCTGGTGTCACTTATGGGGGCAGAGTCTCAGACGTCCCCTCGACCTCGTTTAGTAGCCTGGGGTCTGCTGACCCCCTGCCCTTCGCCTCGGAGTGGCCCAGTGTCACTTGGCTTCCTGCAGGTCATCTGTGCTGCTTGTCCAATAAGAGTTCTTTCTTCTTTAGCAAAAAAAAAAAAAAATTAAATTTGGGTTGCTTTCCACTTTAAACCAGCTGTGGCCATTATAAAAAGAAATGAAAAACAGAGAAAAGTATAAAAACCTCCCCAACTCTGCCGCCCGAAGACATCCCCTACTGCCGTGCGAGCCCCTCTGGTCTTTCTCCTCCGCACATAGTTTTTGTTTGGCTTGATTTTTGCCTAGGTGTGATTATGCTAAATATGCCATTCAGCTGCTTCCCTTTTTTTGTTTTTTTTTTTTTACTTAGCGTTTTATAATAAGCATTTTTCCATGTTATTACAAGCCCTCAGTAAACAACATTTCAATTGTTGCACAATATTCCATTGAGTGAATGTACCAAGGTTTATTTAAATGCTCCCCCCTCCTGTTGGCCCTGTAGATTTTTTATTTCTGCTGATTTCTTTTTCTATCACAAATAAAACATCCTTTGTTTTCTCACTCCTCGCTGTCTGGGGCCTCCGTCAATATTTACAAGAAAAGTCCAGTCTAAGCCCTGCCAGGAATAGCAGAGTTGTTGAAGCAACGGCATTCGCCTAGGGCTGGGCCCTGGGCCCCTCTCTGACTGTGGGACGCGGAGCTGCCCTTGGAAATGCTGAGACAGGCAGGGCTGGCTGGAGGGGCCATCCCAGGAGCCCTTCCCCGTGCAATACCTGGCCAGGTGAGACAGGGAGCCACATTCACTGGGTCCCAACTCTTCTGGTGCCAGGCACTGGACTAAACACTTTTATATGCATCTCCTCGCTGAGCCTATTTTACAGGTGAGAAAACTGAGGCTCAGAGAGTTTAAGGAAATTTGCCTTCGTGGCGAAGTCCAAAGACTTCCAGTTTCCTTAAAAGTGAGCTTGAACCAGGCCTCCCAGCCGCCAGCGCGGTCCTGTCTCCTCACTGCCCTGCCGTGGGCTGGTGGAGCCAGACCCAGCATCGGCCCATCTCCTGGCTGCCCCGATCCTGGCTCCACCCACGCCAATCAATTATGCTCCATCTTTGATCCATCTTTGAACTCCGAGCTCAAAGGACATTGTCTTGAACTCTCTGATCTTCAATACCTGCTCTGGAAAATGGGTTTGCCACTGCCAGCCTCAAGAGGACGCTGTGAGAACTCACAAGGTAATACGGGTAAAGCATCCAGCCCAGGAACCGCTCCAAAGTCGGTCTCAGCGGAACGGTTGTCTCCCACGGGGGGCTGGCCTGCGCCAGCCGGAGGAGGAGAGTCTTCTTAGACCCCTGCCCCCTTTTCTCAGCAGCCCGGCCCTGGAGGAGGAAGGTTGCCCGGCGTTTACGCTGCAGCAGCCCCTTCTAGCCTGAGAAGGCCTGGGGTGTGGGGTGTCCAAGATTAAAGCTACTCATCTGAGACTATCCAGGCTTTGAGACTGCGAGCCTCTGCTCCCCTCTCCCAGGGTGGGAGATCAGGCTCGACTGGCTGTCTGATCTGAGTTTACCCAGGCTCAAAGCATCAAGTGTTTTCCTGGGGCTCAAAGCAGTGAGCATTTACCTGGGGTGTCAGCACCAAGGAGCTTCAGAAGCTACTCAGAGACCCCTGGAAACCTTAAGAAGGTGCAAGACAGACGGGGCTCCCTTCTTTTACAGACTGGGAGTAACCTCCGCTCAGGAACTGGGAGGAAGCTGGGCTGTGTCTGGGCTGCAAATATTTAGAGCCACAGGCAGAGGCAGTCAGCACTGATCGTTACCTGGCAGGACCCTGTGGCCCCAGGGTTCCCCTCGGAGCCCCCTGAAGCTGTGGCTCCAGCCGGAGCAGCCCCTGGGCAGCTGGGAGGCTGCATCAGCGTCAGCGGGAGGGAGATGAAATTCGAAGGGAGGAGGCAACTTCGGGGAGCCAGGGAGCCAGAAGAAAGGGCAGCCTGGAGGAAAGTCTTTACAAACAGCTCTGAGCCTTGAAAAGCGGGATGTGGGTCAAAAGAAAGCAAAAATGAAAAAGCGATCTAGTCTGGGTTGCCTCTTGGTGTGCAGGGAGGAAGTAGAGGTGCAAATTTTGTACCAATAATAATAATAAGAGCGTTCCCCGCACCGGGCTGCATGCAAATACTTCAGCGTCATTCCCTCACTGAACGTCACTGTCTGGGACATCACTGTCTCGCAGAGAGAGCATCCTCATGACACAGAGGAGGAAACTGAGACAGGGCGCTGCACAAAAACTCAAAGTCACTATTTAATACCTATTTCTTTAAATGAGTATTAGTAATTATAATGCCTACCTTTTTATTAATAACAAAGTAAAAGAGAGAAATGTAATCATTGTCAATACCTTGAATGAACACTCCCAAGGCTAATAGGTGCTTTGATTATGTTGTCTCATTTTGTCCTCAAAATAGGGCAAATCCTTTCCTTCCCATCAATTCCTCCACCCCTTAAATCTGGTCGCGTGACTTGCCTTGGCCACTGTGAAGCAGTGACAAATTTGACATAAGCAGAGGCTTGACAATTGCTTGGGCATTGAATTTACTCTCTTAGGGATCTTCGAAACAGGGAGAATGCTACCATGTGGACAAGCTCAGTCTAGACTACTGGAGGATGGGGGACACATGGTCCAGGGACCCCAGGCAATAGCCAGCCAAACCTCCAGCCTATGAGTGAGGCCACTGACCACCAGCTGACCACCTACAGGTGCCTGAAGGAGCCCAACCGAGACCAGCAGAAGAACCACCCAGCTGAACCCAGCCCAATTTGCCAACCCTCAGACACATGAGAGAAATAGGTAGCCGTGGTTTTAAGCCACTAAACTTTGGGGTGGTTTGCAACACAGCAATGGGTAAGTGAGAAAACAATCCTATGATGTCTTATACTTGAAAGAACTAGAGTTCAAGAAAGTGAAGTCGCTTTCCCAGGGTCACACGGCTACAAGGTAAAGGAGCTGGGACACCCCTACCAGCTCTGCCTAACTCCAAATCCTGGGTTCTTCATTATTCAGACATATGGGGCTGACTCTGTTCTAGCCAAACTCGGGCTTTGGGGACCTTCCTGGGGGCCTGGCCTTGGGCCTCAGTGCTCAGCCTTGTGCCATTCCCAGAAGAGCTGGGTCTTCCCCAGGACCAGGAACCGTTGTCTATAGGGGGACAGCTCTGAGCCATCTCAGAGAAGGAATTTCACAGAAAAATCAAGAGATCGTTTCCTTGAACAAGAACCACTAACACCTACTGAGCACAACCACTCTGCTCCAACTATTAGCACTTGCACCCTGCCCAGGGGCCTCCCGGCTGCTGAGAGGTGCTCTGCCCACACAGGGGGTAGGCTGGCACTGCCTGGGGGTTCATCACCCCCAGAGCATCCCCCAACCAACGACTGGCAGGAGTTGGTATATCAATACCCCAGCTCCCTCATCTCTGGTTCTACACTGGCTCCCAGCTTTCCCAGCAGGACTGAGCCGCAGTTTCCCTGGGAGTACCCATCTGTCTTGATAGTGTCCCTTTAATAAAGTCACCCCAGTCCTCCCTGCCTGGACTCCTACCCACTCCTCCCCCTTTGTGAGACCACAGACAAGGGGCGCCCTGCAGCCCTGCTCTGACACCAGCAGTCTCCCCTACCTCCCGGCTGGCTCTGAGCGACATCCAAATGGGCTTGGCGGTGCAATAAATAAAGACTTCGAGTATACTTTAGAAGGTTAAAAACACTACACTGATATAATGCATCTTTATTTGCAATGAGTGTCAGAGTAATGCAGTTTCTTTGTGTTCCTGAAAATAGCTTATCCTTTAAAGAGTTTTGATTATTTCTCCTGCAATCGTGTTTATACTATCACATTCAGCACTCTTTACTTTGCAGATAATGCGAGGGGCAGCTTTAACCTGGCCTCAATTTAAATCATAATGAATTCTGAGTGGCTTCTTTTAAAAACAAAATAAAACAAAGCAAAAAAAAAAACCCCTGCTATGACAGAATCTGATCTGAAGGAACTAAAATCAAGCACCAGCCACACCCTGGGGTCAAGCGTTTAACTTCTTGGATTGTCCTAGAAACAGTGGGGCCCTATCTAGTATCTTTGGCCCCTTCCCAAGCCTGGTCTCCCCTCAACCCCCAGGACTACACAGTGGCTTGGGTAGTGGGGGAGGGGACAAATTAGACAACACCAACCTCGGGAAAACCAGGGCAGATAATGTCTGTAGTAAAGTTGCCTTTTTTAAAAAACACATTTTTTTATTGTGGTAATGCACATAACACAAGATTTACTACTTTAAAGTGTACGGTTCAGTGGCATTAAGTACATTCGCAATGTTGTGCATCTATGTATGTTTTGTCTGATCACAAAAGGTATGAAACATTTATTGTAGAATATGTAAAACACAGAGGAGCCCAGGAAGGCAGTAGACGTCACTCCCACCCAGAAATAACCGGTTACTGATTTGACTTCTTTATTTCCAGTCTCTTATCATTTTAAAAATCATTTTAAAAATAAAAATGGGATCTCACTCCATATATACTTTGTAACCGGCTTTTTCCCCCATCAAACTATCATGACTACCTCTGTGTATTCAGTTTAAAAAAATACATCACTGGGTTTCTTTTTTATGGTGGTAAAATATACATGACATAAAATTTGCCATTCTAACCATTTTAAAGTGTACATTTCAACGGCATTAAGTTATCATGCAACCATCTTCACCATCGGTCCGCCAAACTTTCCGGTCATCCCAAACTGAAACTGTACCTGTTAATCGGCAACCCTCCCTTCCTCTCCCCTTCCTCCCCGTCCTCCCCTGAGTGAAAGTTGTCTTTGACTTTGGAAGACATCCCTGGCAATGATGAAGAAATTCCTGCTCAGTCAGCACAGAAAATTGCAAATCTGCCTCCAGCACAAAGACAGGCTGGTTTCCATTCATTCCAGAAAGTTCCGCAGACGAGGCAGCTCCCAGCTTAGCGGGATGCTTTGGGGCAAGAGAACCCTCCCTCCCTGGAGAATCTGATGAATGGCTTCTTTCTGGAAGACACCACGCTCCCTCCTCATCGGCACGGGGAGAGACAAAGGGAAGCTCCCCGTCTCTGTTCTCTGCGCACTTCCTGCGTCCTCGCGCTAAATTAATCACTTTGGGTGCTTTGACAAAAAATACAGAGGTATAAAACATGTTAATGGCTGCGTTACGTTGTGGGTCCTAATTATGCAATTACGAAGTAACGTGGGAATGAGCAGCTGTAATTACACAGGAATACTCGCTTCTAGGCGATCTGACACTCACGGCAGGGACTGTGACTGTACATAAAGAGCACCCCCTTGCAGTCCCCCTCGGGGACGAGCGGGAGCATGGGGGCTGGAAGACCAGGGCTTGGGGTGCGGCGTGGGCACCAGGGAGGTTCTCCCTTCGGGAGAGAAAGGGAGTCTCGAGGCACAGCCTGACGGCCACGGGTCCCCCCCTTCGTCCACCAGGCGTCAATGAAACCGGCGCTCCCTGCAAGGTGCCGGGCTGTGCCTGTGCGTGGCAGGGCCCATC